TGCTAAAATTGAAAATAAATCTTCATTTATACCAATTGAATATCAAAAACATATTTTATTTGGAGGTGGTAAAACTCCAAAGCAAAGAAATGTACCAAATTCATTTTCAAATAATTCAAGATTGGTTTCTAATTCATCAACTGTATCTTCTATAGCTGCACCATCTACAACTAATGTGATTCCACAAACCTATGTTCCTCCATCATCAACAACAGCAACAGCAACAACAACAACAACACCCGGCATGCCATCATCAAATGGTAACTTATCAAACACAGCTTCTGTTCCACAACCACCACCACTTGGACCAACTCCAGCTTATTCCACTTTGGATCCTGCTAGGCCATCAACTTTAACAGGTCCAAGAGCACTAGATTCACCAACAACAACGTATCCTGAACAGTTAGTGCCTGGAGATGAATACGCAGCAGCAGCACTACCAACAACAGAAGAAGTTATAACAACTTCAACTAAAGGACAATTATTTGGTCAACCAATTGAAAACGTTCCACATGATGATGAAATGGTTCCATATTTTGTTAAGAAATGTATATCATTAATTGAAACATATGGTATTAATTCAGAAGGTATTTATAGATCATCACCAAATAAATTAAAATTAGAAGAATTAAAACAACAAATTGATTTAAATCCAAATAATTTATCAATTTTAGATCCACCAGATTTAAATAATATAACAGATGATTATATTTTTATAATTGCATCATTATTAAAAAATTTTTTTGCAGAATTACCAAATCCATTATTAACTAATGAACAATCACCTAATTTTATTAAATGTGGATTAATTGAAGATTTAAAAACAATGCATATTCAATTACATAGAATTGTTTTCGAATTACCAGATGCAAATTATTTTACATTACGTGATTTATTATTTCATTTTGCAAATTTAAATAATATACCTAAAATTAGAATGAATGTTAAAAATTTAAGTATTGTTTGGGGTAATAATTTATTAGGTTGTGAATTTACAACTAAAGAAGAATTAAGTGTACAATGTAGAGTTATTGAAGAATTAATATCTGCTGCTCAAGATATTTTTAATCCAAAAGATGAATGAATGGATGAATGAATGGATGAATGAATTGATGAATGGATGGATGGATGGATGGTGTTGATTGATGATTAATTTACAGTTAAGATTCTTTATAGTTAATATACACTATTTATGTATAACCCATATAAACTTACAATAATAATAATGGTAATAATAATGGTAATAGAAATACAAATTGTGGGGAAATCAGATCAAAAACAGAGACATCTTTGCACCATCAAAAAATAAAACGCGTCAAAATTTCATTATCAATAATCAAGTTGATATATATATGTATGTATGTATGTGAAAGGGATATCTTAAGATAACTCAATAGAGTAAGACAATTTATACTTTAATGTCATTTGATTGATTGTTGAATTAGAATGAATTCAATTTGGACAAAAGACAATGGTGGTGATGGAGGTTCAGAGACTTTGTATTTTCCTTCATTAATATCTAATTTATATAATGGATCAATTGAAAATATCCAATCTACTACTATAGTTAATGATGGTGTGATACCTTTACAAGAGGGACAAAGTACCTCAGTTCATAAGCGGCCAAGGTTGGGTTCTAACCTTATGTCTCAAAAGAAGAAAAAGTTAGTAAAGGCAAGTGATGATGATGATGATGAGGAGGAGGAGGAGGAGGAGGAGGAAGGGGAGAAGGAGAAGGAGAAGGAGAAGGAGAAGGCCAAAGTTACTTTACCGGGAACGTTGAAGAAGCTTACTTTTGAAATGAATACAGTTCTTGAAGAATCATATAAAACAAAATGCAGATCTATTATTAATGAAGTTATTGAATTGAAACTTAGTAATGAGACGACTGAAATGGATCTACCTTATTCATTGAATTATATACAAGGTCTAGTCTCTCATATAACTCGAACTCATGATACCCAATTTATATTGGAAATTTACAATAAGATAACACAAGTATTCGAAAATGAACTTGGTTCATACTTCACTCATAATAAATTAACTATGAATGAATTTGTATCACACTACAAATCTTGGAAAAATAAAATATATTCCCTGAGAATCATCTTGATGGAAATTGATGAATCAACAACTTTAAGAGTTAAAGGTAAAAAATTACCGAAATTTGTTCCATTTGCTATAAACTTGTTTTGTGAAAAATTCATTGATAAACCAAATGATGATGCGGAATCAAAAGCTAGAGATAGTTTACTATCTGATTTATGGAATTCTGTATCTTGTGTCATCAATAATACTCAAGACCCTGGTATTTTCGAATTTTTCACTAAGGTGATTTCTGAAATTGAAACGCTTCGGGGTTCTGACAAATACGCTAGTATGTTGGATACGAACGTCAAACGTAAAATTCCAACAAAGATTGGTTTAATTGAGATTTTCAATGATTACTTTTCAAAAATTGCTACAGAAACAACTAAAATTTGGTTGAAAGAACCTGAAACTTATATGAAGAATGCTTTCAAGTTGGAAAATAATTTAGTGAAAATGGGTCACGTACTTGGTTTTACTTCTTATTTCTCAAATACTGATCTTGAAATTGATTTCATACTTGAAAATGTTTATGGTGATTCATTATTTCATAATAATCATATTGAAGTATTAGATCCGTTGTTTGATGATCCAATTAGACGTCGCAACGAATTTGTTAGATTGCTCAAAAGGTATGAGCAAAATTCGCTAAAGCAAAAACCAAATTGGTCTATTGAAAACCTTATTGATTTATTTGGTAGAAAGTTAAAGGAGAGAGTAATCAAGTTCATTAACGAAGAATTAATAAACAATGATCCAAAAAAACCATCAAACTCGTTGGAAGAATTAAATCAAATGAAAATAGAATATGATAATTTTTGTGAGAAAGATTTTAGCCATATTCCTGAACTTCATAAAGCAGTTAAAGAAAGTTTTAAAAATGCAATTAGTGAGACGAAATCAACGTCTTTGACGATCTGTCATAAAATGCTCAAATATATTGATTCATTAAGCTTATGGGCTAGAAGTAATCTACTCGAACTAAGCTATCCGACAGTGAAAAAAAAAACTACGTTCTCGACAATCGTATCAATCATTGAAATGATACCAGATAGAAGAGAATATTTATTTGACAAATATAAAATACAATTATCAATGAGATTATTGAAAGGTAATTCGGCAGAGTTTGATCTTTATGATACCGAATTGGAGACTGAAATTATGATTTTGGAATTACTGCAAAAAACATTTGGTGCAGATTATACTGAAAAACCGTTTGAGATGGTTTCAGATATGAAAGAGTCACGTACTCTATTTGGAAAATATAGATCTAAATACCCATCATCGATTGAATGCTCATCGTATATTGTTAAAAAGGATAATTGGCCTGAGCCACCATCAAATAAAAAACTCAAAATCCCAAAACAACTTCAAAAAGAATTTGAAAATCATGAAAAGTTCTATCTTGAAGAACATAAGCGAGTTTTAGAATGGAAACATCATTTCCAAAGAGTAGTAATTGATATTTTATTTGATGAACTGGATGATTCATCTATGAAATCAATTGACTGTTCAATATATCAAGCAACTGCATTACTTGCTTTTGAAGAATCAGAAAAATTGAAATTTGACCAATTATTGAAAATTACAGGGATGGAAGAATCATTCTTATTAGATATTTTAAACAATTTAACAACTGGTAAATTTCAATTATTGAAACATAATAAAAAAACAGGATATTATTCAATCAATTCTAAATTCAAAAGTCGTAAAGAAATAGTAAGATTACCAACACAAGAGACATCATCATCAACAACAACAACAGCAACAAGATCATCTTCTTCATCAATTATGAATAATCGAAGCTTTGAAGAAATGTTAAATTTCAGATTATCTGCATTCATAGTTAGGAAACTAAAAGGTTCAAAAGAAATAATGCATGAAGATTTAATACAATTATTGTTAAATTACATCGAAGTTGAGAAAATTGATATCTCTGAATTGAGAAATGATAATGGTAATTCAAGTTTGAGTAAGGTTTTCAAAAATTCAATTGAATCACTTATCGCTGATGGGTATATTGAACGGACTTTAAATGATAAGTATAGATATGTCCCATGATTTGTAAATTATATATTTAAACTGGCATTGATCAAGCATACCAATATAAAGATAAATTCATACACTTGATGAATAAGTAACCTTCAATCTCCAAATAATAATAATAATCATATGTACATTCTCAACCCTCTTGCTATTCAACTATAAATCTAGCTGGTTCCTATCTGAAGATGATGAATAATAAATAATAATAATAATAAATGTATTCTCGATGAGGATAAATCCTTCGCCCATTTAATAGACCTTTGATGGAAACTCTGAGTTTGTTATTATTTGGATTCATCTGTTATGATGGCTCAAGTAAGGTCACCAAGTGTGAACAGCTACCATAATCTCATAAATGTCTTTGAACTGCTACCATAATCTCATAAATGTCTTTGAACTGCAATTACTTTCTACGTCAGTCAGTCATTAAGATAATACTCTCATACTTTGTTGTTACAATCATCTTCAAGCACAATAGCTATTCAAAACATGATTGGCCTTTTCTAGCCCTTTTCAAATGATTAATAATAATAATAATAAATATATTCTCGATGATTGTGATAGCTAATCACTTCATCTAAATTGAAAAATTGATTTTCAGCAAAAGGTAAAAAAACAATCTTTAAAAATGATAAAAATTTCGACCAATAAATTGTACATTTTCTTGTTTTTTTCATGATAAAACATCTAAAAATTTACTTTGAGCAATATGTTCATAGTGTTGGCTATCAGTTTAATAGTTTTTGACCTTCATCACTTCAATTGGGCTCTATTTGAAGCAGATTTTACCGTTCTTTAGATATTTAATCAATTTTGACAATGCTCTGCTCTCATAGTTGACTACTGGCAAAAAAGAAGTGTAAATTAGCACCGTGGCGCAGTGGAAGCGCGCAGGGCTCATAACCCTGATGTCGCTGGATCGAAACCAGCCGGTGCTACATTTTTTTGCTGTAGCTCTTTTAAGTTTTTATTTGAAGCTTCATAACTACTCCAAAACTGCGTTTTTTTTTGTAGCTTTTGTTTTCATCAGAGGGTTCATGAATAATTGCAACAGATGTACTAAATTTGAAATAGAAAGGTTGTCTTAATCCTCCAATTGATGGGCTTATTTCCCCGCTCCGGTCATTGACGGCACGTCGATCGACCTCGATACTTTCAATGCTCTCGCAGCTCCGCTTGTACAAAGAGAGGTAGAGCAATCAATCATCTGATAATGTCTTATCATCTTTTCTTTATACATTGCCCAAATATTAGTTTGTTTATAATTTAGTTAGAGAGAATTAATGCAATTGAGATCATGTCGGGCGCTCCAAAAGATAGTAATTACGATGAGCTTTTAGATCCGAATAATCCAGATTTTTTAGAACTTAAGAAAAATGCAGTCAAGTTTTACTCTTTAGAATCGAAATTGAATACTGATGACAGAAAGTTATTGTTTGATTATTATACGAAGAAAGTTAGACTGTATACCAATCTCACTAGTTTGTCGTTTGTTGTCGGCTTAACGATTCCCACTATAGTATTAGTCAAAAAGAAGAAAATCATCAATCCTTTCATTCCGTTAGGTACAGGCTTGGCAACTTTATCCATTGGTTCATCAATTGTCGTTCCTGCTTTCTTATCCAGAGCAGAACAAGAATTTGACTCTTTGAATGGATCGGAAAGTCGCGTTTGGAAGCTCAAGAACAGTTTACCTGATACGTTGTTGTACGACATGTATTTATCAGGGTACTTCAAAGAAACATTGAAAAATGAGAATGTCCGTATGAATGATCCTCAACAATGTCACAATTTTATGGAATTGGTGAAATGTTCTATCGTTTTCAAAGATTTAAAGGACCCAGGAGATGTGGAATTTGTTACCTTTGCCAGTGATGAGGATCAAAACTCTGACGGTATCGCTTCTAGTAACCGTCAAGTTTATCGTTCGGCATGGGATAGAGTCCGTCACACTGATCATCCACTTCAAAATGAGTTTGGAGATCTAGATAAGGATAAGAACAAAGAAGATTACGATGATCCATTTTCTGAGAATAGTGGTGATGATGATCAGACCAAGGAGAATGGATCTGCTTGGGAGAAAATTAGACGTAACAGGCCACCGAAGATATGAGAAAAGTTGCAGAAACCAAAAAGTCTTGTATATAGTTCAATAACAAACTATCATTAACGAAAAAGATATGAAAACAGTTGATGTAGGTTCGGCCAATACGGGGTTTTCTCGAAAAGTTACACCCCGTCCTCCCCTCATTGCCAGAATGGAAAGCGGGACACCCCTCCATCAAGATCTCCCCACCGGGCGAGAATTGTAACTCCGCACGCGTAGCCTACCAATGCACGGGGAAGGAACGGAACAACTGTATCAGCTCGCTATAAATACAGACACATCTTCCAACTTCTTCCACAATAACTGGAACCCATTGAGTCTTGAACACTTCCTGAAACTTTCCTGAAACCAATTGTATTTTCAAAATTATTCTCAACAATGCAACACCCATCAATTAAACCTATTTTATTCTTCCATTTGGATGCCGAAGAGCCAGAACAAATCTTTTCAACAAAGTCTTCTTCGTTGACTAATGTTAAGGTCAAGTCCGGTTATGTCAAATCATTGGACGAATCTAAACCTTTTGAAGCAAAGGTTGTTCGTGGATCAGATGATATCTCTTTTGATCCTGCCAATCCAGCCACTGGTCATTTGGATTGTCGTTTATATTTGAGTATTGATGGTGTTACAAAAGGTTTCGTTCAATACTCGGGTGTCGTTCAATTCGAAGGCAAAGTTGCTGAAGTTGTCGGTAAGCAAACTAGTCACATGGAGTTCAGCGAAGGTTACGTCACTTGTCATCCTAGAATTCATCTAGATGATTCTGTTACAGAATTCAAATGGTTGGAAGATATTAATTATATCGGTAAAGGTAGATTCATCAGAGATGAAGAAGGGGGATTGAAAGTTCAATACTATGTGTATACTTTTGATACTAGCAAGCTTTGATTTTTGGATTCAAATGCCAGTCTGGAAATGATATGACTATATTATACGATAACGAATACGATAATGATAACGATACGAGTCAATCAGTGTTTTTATCGGTTCTTTAACGTAACGATTCGTAAACAACTAAAACCACGTAGTTCGTTTCCAGTAATGACACTCTAACTTGTCTTCATACTAAGTACAAATTTAGATACATGTTGCTATATTTGTGTTGATGACTATCTGTCTCCTTCAACGAAAACGAGGTCACGTGCAATCAGTCACACTTCCTGTAGTTTGGTGACACGGATTCCCGTTATGGCAGACAAGCCATGTGTGCATCGCTATTTTAAAGAAGTCTCCAACTAGACGAGAACAGCCTATTATTAAACCATCTCTCAAAGGGTGTAGAATCACATATCAAAACCGATTCATACAACAAATGGCTTCTACAGAAGCTGAATACAACGATCAGCTGTATTTGCAACTTTCGGGCACAGAAATTGAGATGGAGAAGGACAATGAGAACGACAATGGCAATGGTGATGGTAACGGCAACGAAAATGAGAACGACAATGACAATCACAACTATAATTACAATTACAACTATAACGAAAATGATAATGAAGACTATCAACAACAACAAACAGATGAAGCAACTCAACCTCGTCGATCCAGAGCATCAGGCGATATTTTACAATTGTTGATAAATGAATTCAACAAAAATCAAAACCCAAATACAACTATTCGAAAATCAATAAGTCTTAAGACGGGAATGAGTGAACGATCTGTGCGTATTTGGTTCCAAAATAGAAGAGCTAAAACTAGAAAGATTGAGAAATTGATCAACTTGAATAATTTACAAAATATAAATACTTCCTCAAGCAACAGAACTACAATTGAAATTAATGATAAATATAGTTTGATTGACTGTACGTCTATATCCATTGGAAATTGGCAGAGAATCAAATCAGGTTATATTCAACCAAGTACTTTGTCAAATCTAGCCAATCTCTCTCCCAAATTGATTAATAGTCTGATGTCATCGACGGATCTATTGATCATATTATCTAAAAAAGATTACGAACTGAATTACTTCTTTAGTGGAGTTTTCCAAAATGAAAAGATTCTATTTAGAATATTTTATCCGATTTTGAATATACTCAATAGTTCACTAATCAATTATCAAACACAAAAGTCGAAGCATGCATCAACTGTTTCGCTTTCTTCATCAGATGATGATTCGGTGTTAGAACCACCAAATTTGAAATTACAGATTCAATTATCAAACTCGCCCAAATTTGCTGTGAATTTTTTGAAAGATCCCGTGTCTGGTGAAACTAATTCAAATCAGTGGAGTATATGTGAAGATTTCAGCGAAGGTCAACAAGTGTTACAAGCATTTGTTGGAGAAGGTGGTAATGGAGTTGGTCATGTGTTGAGTGGTGGAGAAGAAGGCTTGAAATGGTTGAATAGTAGCATCAGTGAACTCAAAAGTCAAAGTCAAGGGCTGGTGAATGCAGCAGCTATTGCTTCCAATGGATCCGGTATTGTTGGACACGCAACAGATCATAACTTGGGTGGTATACCTACAGGATTCCCTGGGATCAAGAATGAAGAATCTGGCTTGGATTATTACGAGTTGGGTGCCACAAGCCTTGATGGCAATACACTTCCCGGTATCGGGGGTATAAATTATATTGGTGGGGGCAATACTGGAGATGTGTATCTCAAAAATGATGTTGTTATTGGTGCTGTAAGTAGCGTTGGAACAGAAGGAGTAGAAGAAGCTTCGCCCGTTTTGTTCGATTATTCGGCAACTGGCGTTTCACCTTTGAATAAAGATATGATCCATGGTTCTTTAGAGCTGACGAATCAGTTTGCACATGACGAAGATGAAGAAGATGATGCAGAAGCAGATGGGATCATGACAAGAGCAGGAAGTGGCAGGGGTAGTATAATCGCCGACTTGAAGATAGATACTGAGCACTCAGCTCATTCAGCATCTGTAGATGATATGGATCATCATACGGGCTTTGATATTGATGATGGATTTTATAATATGCATGATGATAATGAGTTGGGATTTTAAACTAGATGTTCATTCATCCAAACTCATCACACCATTTCTTTAGCTCGACTATTCTTTTCAGTTTTTTCAATTATTTTATTTTCTCTTTACAATTTTTTAATTCCTCATTTTTTCATTTGATTCTAATGTCAATTTCTAGCTATTCTACCCCATTCAAACTAACCAGTAAGGTGGAAATGACCTATTTTAAAGAGCAAAATGGGACATTAATGGAAAATCGACGCGACGCGACGCGGAAAATACCAGTTGATCTGATACAAAACAAGTCAATGTTATCATGTATGCATGAATGTTTAGAGATCATCCCATAAACAAGGAGTCTTACATTGCAAGGATTGAAGTACAATTGTCCCAAATCAACAGAATCTGCATTTGTCACCATAAGTTCTAGTTGACAATCAAACTATCTGTATCTACGTACCCATATATACATTTTACCAAACAAAGGAAAAAAATAGATTCGGTGATTGAATAACATTGAATGCCCAGTACGAAGAGAGGAACGACCGAGTTGGATGATGTCGACTCGGAGAGATCAGCTAAAAGACCTCGTGTTGATAAGTCGACCTCTGAGATACCGGAAGAAAGTGGATCACAGTCAGGTTCAGAATCTTCAGGATCAACTGGCTCAGCTGATGGCACTTCATCCTCATCAGGGTCTGAGTCCGAGTCCGAGTCTGAGTCTGAATCCGGATCTGAATCCGAGTCAGATGATGAAGAATCACAAGAGTACAAAAAAAGCATGACTGAAAAGGAACAGTTTGAGTTAACGGCAGAATATAGAAAGCTTGATTCTGATTTGATAGAGCAGAGGTCTCGAGTCAATGGGGAAGAAGGTGTTTTACTTGTTAGCAAATTACTTGATCGTG